TTACTATGACTAGGAATAGTTGAAGAGAAAAGACAGACATTGTGGAGATGGCAAAGTTAGCAGAAGAAACATAACATTGTTTAACCATCCATACCTGCCGACTTGGAGTGCTACAACCACGGCTTATCACCAGTGATGTCCCCTCGTTGTCCTCTTCCTCCCACTTCCCTGCATTCACCCCTTGCCTCTAACCTGGTGCATAATCTGCAAGCCCCTTAGGGCAGGGACCCTCTACCTTTGTTTGCACAGCACCTAGCACAGCGCAGTTGGGGCCTTCCCCAGCTAGTGTAAACACAGACAGACTGGCACAGTCCTAGCATCTGGGACTGCGGAGCTCAGGCAAGCTGCGGGGGCACAGGGAAAGCCAAAGAGAACACCACACAATGTACAATCAACGGTAATTTAGTATCAGCAGATGCCACTGTGTCTGCCGCGTGCTTTCATCTGCCGGGAGAGGGGCGGGGGTCCCTGTAGCATCTCTGCAGGAGTGACTGGAGTGTTTACAAAGTGCTTTGAGACCCTTAGTCACTTTATAAGTGCAAGGTGTTACTATCACAAAGCCTCCCATCATGACAAGGGAGATGGGTACGGAAATAGCCCTGCGCAGCATGCCTGAAGAGCAAGCTGCTGCTTTTATGAACCTCTCGCTTGCAATCTGCTTGTTGAAATCTGCTCCAGATTTATAGGGAACACCCAGGATGGCAATAGGGAAGTAATGTAATCACAGGGGAGAGCATGGGGCTGGATTCCCTCATGCCCATGGCTCTGTCCCAGACTCGAGGAGCGATCTGGGATGAGTCGCTCTGTCTCTTTGTGCCTCAGTTTCTCCACCTGTACATGGGATATAACTGACACTCCCTTGCAAAGCTCTTTGAGACGTGTGGATCAAAGTAACTCCCTGTGTGCAGCTGAATGGGGCAAATTCTGCTGTTATGTCGGTGTAAATCAGATGGAACTGCACTAATGTAAGCAATGGCAGGATGCCTCCCAGTATTGCCATGTATTTGAGAACTCTACTGATTTGGAGGCAGCTGAGTCCAGTCCAGGTTTGTCGCCTCGTCTCTGCAAATGAATTCAGCAGCCTGGGAGCCCTTTACCTGCCTGGCACCAGTGCTGGCTTCCTTAGCTGTGCTTTCTCCTTTGCAGAGCAGCAAGTAAATCCTGGACTGGAGCTCAGCCCCTGATTGCAATGCAGGCTTCCCAGTCCCAGCTGCTCAGTGCCCTGATACCCACATCCCAAGGAAGGTCCCCAGCTCCTGGGCATGGCCATGGACCGGGCTGCACCGTGCCCAGCTTGCAGCATGGTACTGACTGAGCGTGGGTGTAGCAGCTGCATGAAGGGCAAGAAACCTACATTTTGGGACTTTGGGAAGCTTCAAGACTGTTAAGTGCTTGTGCTGAATCACCAGTTTTCCCTCTGGAGAGCACTGACTGCTTAGCAGATTGTCTCCTTTCCAGGCAGTGTTTGGAGCACGATGGATGAGGGCTGATCTGGGCATCTTTTGCACAGCTTGGCTCTGGGCTCCATGATGGATCTGGGCATCTTTTGCACAGCTTCTAGGCAGCTAAACAGGCTGTGGGGGTAACCTCAGTTCTACCCTGACCCAGCCGTGCTCACCCTGCCTTGCTCTGTGATTACCCGCGTCTTCCACTGCATTGCCTAGTAGAAATCCAAGATAAAAACAGGCTCCAGGGGCAGGACTGATCCTGCCAGGTTATTTCTCAGGGAGTGAAATGCATTGGGCAGAGCTGATGGATCTCTCTGCCTCCCCCACCCAGGCCAGTCCTTAAGCACATGCTTAATTTTAAATGTGGGAAGCAGCTCCAATGCAGTTAATAGGAACCATCCTGTGCACGTGCTTAAGAGGTTTGCTGGGCTGCACTCTGGGTACGGGTTATTTATTTTCCCCTGATTTCATCAGTTAATTGGCACCAAACTGCATTCCTTACCACCAAAGACTTTGCATCACCCTATGGTTGTTTGGGAACTGGTCTCTTCAGCCCCCTGCTACTGGCCATTCCTATTGCGTGGGTGGCTACCTGGGTCACATGCTATTGTTTCTGTGCTCTAAATGGTGGGCAGCTGTTTCTAAATTGAAGGACAACACACTTCCCAATTGGACGTTGCCATTATTCTTGCTCAATTCCATGAAATGTTTTAGATGGGCAGATATTTTCATACGCAGTCACTGCATGTCCAGATCCTGGCCTGTATCTAGTGTAGCTTCCCCACTGGATCCAACGCTGCTATCCACAAGTGGGCTTCTTGGGAAGTCTTCGTGTTCGTACAACAGCAAGGCACTGCACTTGGGCACCTAATGCCCAAGGACTCATGCCAGTTCTGATGCTCAGTCCATGTGATGCCACCAGCATCTGGCATCCCCTCTCCATGCCTCAGTTTTCCCATCTCTACAATTGTGACAAGACTAATGCAGCTATCACAAATCTAGGGCTGCTACCACATCACTGTTTCATTATAGTGGGTAGGAAGAGCTTCTGAACTTCCATGAAACTATGAGAATATATTCTCCCTTGCTCATAAACAAACCCAAACTCCTGAATTATATAAATCATGGGATTTATCTCATTCTTCTCATCTGAAACGCTCCAAGTCCTTCAAGGGGCATGTACACTACAGAACATATGTACTACTACACCTGCTGTGGAAATGCAACTGTATCTGGGGTGGGATGTAGCAGCTTTTCACTAGCACAAAGCAGTCCCATTACAAAGACAGGCCCCAACCCAAAAACACATCAGTAGGGATTATTCGTGTACTTCAAGATAAGCACGTGTATTGTAGGAGCGAGGCAGAAGGCACAATGCAGTTACCCAATTGGGGCTGGACTCAGAGATCTTCCGAGGTCCCTTTCAGCCCCAAAGTCTATGAAATGAATGACGGCAACCTCCTATTTTTTACACGCACACACACACACACACATGCGTGCACACGCAATCACACGCCACAGTTTTCAATGTCATTTGAAAGAGAATACCCCTGGCAGCACAGTGCCCCCTTGCAACACCGGAGGCAGAGGCTCCGATCTATGTCTGGAGGATAAATGACGGAGGTCTGCGCTTCGCTCTCACCTCCATCGCGTCCCGCAGCTCGCTACAAGATCTGCGGGCGAAGGCTCCCATAGAAAAGCTAAGTAGCCTTATTATTTATAAAGCCAGGAAAACACAAGAAACCCTGCTGCTGTCTTCCCCTCTTCGCCTGCCACTGACAATCACTGAGCTCTGGTGGTAACAAATTAGATCATTACAGCACAATGCTAATAGGATCCTTTTCAATGCAACGCACACCGGATAATCCACAGGAAAGGAAGGAGAAAGCAGGCTCTTTTATTACTAAGCCCAAAGGAAGGATTTGCTGTTCCCCGGCCTCAATTTTACCTCTATCTCTGCTCCTGATCTGCTTATGGCTTCTTCGGAGGATGGGTGCTCCCGGCTGGGTACAGTGGAAGTGCAAAGACACACTGCTCACTCTAGTGAAAGAACCTGGGTGCTCAAACATGCCCAAATATCTAGAAAGCACGTACAGATGCCAGAAGCTCTGACCAGTACCACCCTGTCAAATGTAACATGCTACCGCAAAAGCATCTTCCATCCAGCCTCTGCACCCCTTGGGGTTTGGCTCTCTTTCTCTCGTCTTCAGTTTTGCAGGCAGCGGATTCAGAGTCAATTTACGATTCCCTTTGTCTAGCCCACCACCGCCTTCCTTTTTTGCTCCCTTGGCTTGATTTTGCCAAACACTAATATTCTTAGAGCACATCGCTGCAATGCCTAAATGAAATGACAGCTTCTTGCTCCTCTGCCATGAAGAGAGCTCCAAAACTGTGAGCACGGGAGAAGAGGAGAAACCAGAGAAAGATGAGGGCTTGCAGCCCCTGATCTGGTTGTTTCTTTCTGCTGGGCACCATTCTTACGGTTAAAGAAATTAAAAAAAAAAAAAAAGGATGGAGCATCTGAAGAAGTTCCCCAGTAAATGAGCTCCATTTCCCTGCATGGTCTGGGATCAGTGCTAGGGTTTCAGCATGCAAAATCACTTCGGGACATATGGAATAGCAAGAAATCAAATAAAGGCAATCCAATGAAAGAACGATACGATGATAGCAGCATTTCCCCTGACGATCTCTGGGTTTCGTGTAAACACACACGCACGCACACGCACACACACTTGCATGCACAGACAGATATCTCTCTGTATGCACCGTAGCAGATGCACACCATGCAAAGGCACAATCAGCTGGAAAAAATTAATTCCCTGTTGCATTATTCCGATTCACGCCACCCAGGGCTTGCCTCTGCAAACGCTATGTGAGATCCAGCCCTATCCCTCCACATGCTTTCCCCTCACCTTTAAGGAAAATAAGTAATAGGAACGATGCATCTTACCAACAAGACGGGTCCTTCTGCGTGTGGGTGCCAGAAGACTCAGACCCCCCTCTTGTGCTCCCGAACGCGCACACCCTGCCTTCCCTCTTGCCTGCAACAACAACAACAACAAAACCCAAACCCAAAATAGCTTGCCCAAATCAAGGGATTCAACCCCCAAATCCCATCCCTGGCACCAGGAGAGTGGAGATGACAATCTAGTTAATCTTTAAAGGTTTCAGGAGAGAGACGGGAGCAGGGATGCACACTCTTTGCTTAAGCATCTCCATGGTTACCTCACTGACCCAGTTCTCCTCGCAGCCAAAAGCAGGGGGAGAGAAGAAATTCAGAAGTAAGATGGGAGGCATGCGTGGCATGCTCCCGGCAGGTGTTCCTCAACCCCTTTTTGGCAGGGGCAAATGGACTGGGTCTTGAATATGGGCCGTTACTCCTCCTAGCACCTGTCCCGAGGCTTCTCACCCTCCTGGAGATACAGGGACGCAGTTCAGGTGTTGCAATAGTGCAATACTATACATTTTAAGCCCCCCCCCCAGCCAAAATCCCCAGATTTTGGAGGAACTCATCCCACATCCAGCTGTCACTATGGAAGCCAAGCCGCGTAGAAAAGCAAAATGTCCATCAGGTCCGGAGGAGCCTGATCCTAAGACGAACACCACCACTGGGCACCCATCACTTGGGGCTGGGGCACTCGGTCCAGGAAACAAAGAGATAACTGAGCTAATGGGGGCGGATGCTAGACCTTGAGGACGCGCCCAGCACTTCCTCTAGATCCCCTTCCCTTGTCGTGAACTTGTGCATCTACAAGTCACAGCTGAGATTGGGTGCTAACTGTGCTAGGCGCTGTACATAGCCTCAAGTTTACAATTGCAGCGAGGAAGACGGACACAGGTAATATTATCATCCCTTTTTACCCATGGGATATTGCAAGACAGAGTGACATGGATGCAGTCACACAAAGCATCTGTAGCAGAGCTGGGATCCAAATACCGACCGTCTAACTCTCTAGGTCCCTAGCCTAGCCACTCTTTCCACCTTGGGTGAAATGAATGCCTGGAGCCATCTGGATGAGCTGCCCCTTTAAGGTGCTCAATCTTATCTGTGCCAGGTGTGATTCTTGCACCAGGTGGAGGGACCTAAAGAGGTCACATGATGAGGAAAGCATGTGGCTGAGCTCCAGGCAAGGAGAGAGAAGAGGGGCTGATTTGTGTGTTAGTTAGAAGGTGGTTGTGGTCTTCTCCATCTAGACTGGGGCTAGGTATGCAAGATTAAATCCTGGAAAGATACTGCCTTTTGGCTTATGGGGTGATCAGCCGAATGGTTTAGTTGCCCCATGTGGGAGATCAGATCACCAGTAGGGGTGGATGTAGCTCCCTCCCATGGCATCATCTTATGAGATGGTGCAGCCATCCCAAGCAGAAAAGGATGTCAGCTGAGGAGCCATGGCAATGCAGACTCCAGAAGACTGCAGGGGAAGAGGACAGATGTGAGGGACAACAGCTGTGCCTGTCTACAGTGAGGTGGGAGAGGCTGGGAGGGCCTTGGCGGGATGCTTATTTTAGGGTTATCTGAAGAATTAAGGTGCATCTTTACTGCACCAAAGGCTCCTCACAAGGGCGTTGCAGTGGCTTTGGGGTGGCAGCAGAAAAAGGAAACTGAGGCAGCAGGTGGATTTGATGCCAGAGCTGGTAAGTCCCCACTACAGATGTCCTCTTGCAGCTTCCAAGTGCTTGTAGCTAGAGCTCTGCTTTCACGTTTGCCATCCCTCCCTGCAACCTGGTTCTTGTTGGGTCCCTAGCCCTACTGTCCAGGGAGGCAGCCTTCAAACAATGACGCAGCCTTGGCTTTATCAAGGCAAATAAAACGCCAGACTCCTGTGTTTCAACATCATTCCCCACCCCACATTCCCAAAAAGTTGTCTGGAGGGTCATGTGGCTGCCTGTCACATGTGCAGTAGTAGCCCTCTACTTTTCCCCTTGACTTGGGCTAACATTTGAAGGGCGTCTGGGTACATGTGTGGTGCAAAGTGCTATTAAAAGCCGCACTGGGAGCAGTGGCCCCAAGAAGCTCTCCCCAGTAGGCTGAGTCTCCTGGAGGAAAAGGAAGAAGAAGACTCCTTGTAGTCTTTAAAGGATGGTCCCCTATCTAGGATGGGGAGGGGGATGGAAAGCACGGTCTTCCTCTCTTGATTAGCACAGCTGCATAGAAAGCAGCTGGGTCATCTTTTGCCCAGCCATCTTGGTAAGCAAATAGGAATTTCTTGCGAGGTGATGCTCTACTACTGGCATATCATCCCTGCCCTCCTGGGAGGCACCTGGGCAACAGGAGAGCAGAGGATACTGGCAGAAAGTCTCAGCTTCAAGGAGCAGGGTCCTTTTCTTGTTGTCTGTCTCCAAAAGGCAGCATTGCTAGCCACGAGGGCACCACAGCTTGCGCTCTGAAGAGTTAGTTTGGGTAGATGCTCCAGCTGCCCTCCCATTACCCCAAAGGGGGCAGGGATGGGGCCGCCACAAGGTAGAGGACTGCCTAGGGATAGCACGTATGGGAAGTGCGAAGCCCATTGCAGAGCCATCTCCCCGTGGAAAGTGTGAGCCCTCTTGCTAAGAGCCATCTCCCCAGTCCTCACCCAGGAGAAGTACATGGGCCATTCCCGTTCTAGCCACCACACTGGGTTATAGATACTAAAGCAAAAGTGCCCGCTGGGATTTCCCTCTCTGGTCACTTTTGCTCCAGTAGGGTTTTGAGAAACCGCTGACTTGCTCAGCTCCTGGATTTAAGTTTCCTTGGGAGGGGCAACTGCTGGGACTCCTGTAGTATCTGCTTGGATTTGGGAGCCTGTTGATCAAAGCCCGAGGAACTGAATGCAAGAGACTTAGGCCAGAGTCTTGAAACCCAAAGCAGATGTTTCGGCATATTCATGACCCACAGGGAGGGCAGAAGGGTAAATCCAGGGCACTGTTCAAACCCCAGCAGAGTTCAGATCCAGAACACAGGATGCTTCTTATTTCCTCTCAAGTGCTGAGATGTAAGAGCCGCTGCCAGAAGAGCCCTGCCAACTCTTAGTGTGGTGTAACGGGGGGCTTGGAAGGTGAGGAAAAACAGATGTTCTTAAAACTCACGAGCATGCAAGTTTAAGTCTAGTTAGGAAGGGGGGGGAAAAAGTCTGTCCCTGGATTTGCAATTTTAAAATGCACTTGGGTGCTGGCATCTGGTTTCTAATGTTTAAACTGCTCACCCAAGCTGAGCCTACAAAGAACTGTGCAACAAGATGAATAACTGCATGCAGCGGATCAAGAACTTGCAAGCGTAACTACCAAATACACTCGCTCAGTTGCTTGCATAAGTCATGTGCACCTAATGTGCTGCCGTCGGGTCCTTGGGTCTGACTTGGAAGGAAAATATCCTACTTGTGCAAGCTGTAGTGGTTTCTTTATAGCCGAATCTGGACTCCAAAGCTAGGGATGGATGCACCCGGTTGGTACTGTATTAGCATTTGGGACAGAGGCAGGCAATTATTTTGGGCAGAGGGCTGCTTACTGAGTTTTGGCAAGCCATCAAGGGCTGCATAACAGGCAGCCCAGGGCAGATAAATACTAATTTTCTAAATTTTTAGGGGCCCCGAGGGCCGGATAGAATGGCCTGGCGGGCCGCATCCGGCCCCCGGGACGCATTTTTCCCACCCCTGGTTTGGGAGGACCACGGCCTCGTGGCCTTGCGTTCCAAGAAGAGCCTTTTCATCCCAACTGCATCTTGTTTTATTTTAGTGACTTTAAATCTCGGGTCTCCCAAAACTGGCATGTCCTGATCTGCCGGAGAATCAAACGGTTTGACATGGTAACAAGAGCTGATACTTGGATTTGCATGCTGCCGTCTAATTGGGTGGCTTCTCGACCAGGCAGAGCATCACCCAATTGAACAGCACCATGCAAATGTTAGTGTGTATTCCTAACTCCAGGGGATGCAGTGGCGAGGAAATGAGTGAAAAAATGCCGGATTTGGATTATTATTATTTTTTTTTTAGAGCAGAGTCTTTTTGGAACGGGAAGCAAAAGGCAGCTGGAAACACGACAGTTAGGTTGGCACGGAGAGGTGATTTGATGTTAGTCTGCAGTCGGGCAGAAGGCAGAGTAGATTTGCACCTTATAGACTAACTAAATGAGAGGCAGATGTAGCATAAGCTTTCGTGAGCTGGAGCTCACTTCATCAGATGCTGTGGAATGGGGAGGGGGGAGGGTTTTTTGGTAGCAGGAAGTTGCTTCTGCAAACCACATCCAAATTAGACATCCAGCTAGTTTGTGTAACCTCGAGGAGGTGAATGAAATCAGCCAGAGGATAAGGGTAAATGCGTGGTGTGCTTGCTGACCTGCGAGGCCCAGACACAGATGGGACAGCTTTCCCTGGGGCAATTAGTGAAAACCTAATAGGAGTCACTGGATCACTTCAAATTAGGAGTGCAAAGAAAAAGCACACTGCAGGATACGACTTCCAATAGCCAAAGGATGGGTGGACTACCAGAACGATTGCCCTGCAATACTAATGTGAGGGTAACAGAGCGGGACTTGCCTGTGATTTAATGAAACCTTATCGCTCTCGCAAGTCTTGTGATGTTTGGAGTTGTTTTGAGTGCCAGCTCTTGAATTCCTCCTTTGCTTTTACCAAAATAATTTTTCTCCCATCTGCTTGCAGAGATGCTTGCACAGTTGACCTCCTAAAAGCTTCGAGACCCAGCTAAGAACTCTGAAATGTTGTAGTAACCGGCTTATGCGTTTCAAATGAATCATGACTCTTTTGAGAGCCCAAATCATGATTTGGGAACACCTGAGGTTGGCAATACTGTTCTAAGTCTGAACTAGAAATACATAAAGCAACACTTTTTTTTTCCAGTTGATTGCACTAGCCTCATTTTGACCACGACCCATCACTGTCAACATCGCTAACAGCTTTAAGAGGTGCCACAGAGGCCATACTGATCCATATCAACTCATCCCTCTACAGCAGGGGTTTGCAACCTCTTTTCATTGGCAGACCCCTAAAAATATTTGATTGGAGGTAAAGACCCCTTTGGAAATGAACGGCTTCATCTGGGCTCAGAAACTTTATTTCACAGGCGTCTTAAGTGGACCCTTCAGACATAGTCTACAGACCCCCGGGGGTCTGCACACCACACGTTGAAAACCACTGCTGTAGGGGGATCTCCTAGCTGCTACATAGACTTGCACCTTGAATCCTGGAGACTGCCTCTTAGTTGCTTTCCACTTCCCATATTCCTTTTGATCCGTCTCAAATGGCTCTCATGGTTTATTGGATTTGCTTGAGCCACACCCAGACACAGGAATGGG